TTCATCATTGCATTCATGTATGACCTCCTCACTGTTCTCATGAACTATTTCAACACTGTTCTCATGAACGACCTCCTTACTGTCTTTCATAAGCGTTTCAAAGTCTCCTTTACTCATTACTTCAATCTCATGCTGTTCACAGTAGTACTTAAACTCACTGTATATGTCTTTGTTGTATGTTATATTGCTTCCCATGTACTCCATGAATTTTTCAAGCACTTCCTCATAATTCACTGTTTCTTTCTTTCCACGACCTTCTAATATCATACTTGCTTCGTAAATATAACTTCTTGCAGAACCGTCTCGCTTTCTACTTCTCTTCACAAATTCTCTCATCTTGCCACCAAATACATTTGAACTACATGCAAAGAATTCATTCTCCTTCGCAAATTCTTTATATCTTCTGTAGCACTCTGTACAATTCCATCCGGATACAAACTTTTCATAGAACTCCTCGTAAAACATTTGGTAAGGTGTTTTGTTCATTTCGATGAGTTCTTGTTTAGCCCTGGTGAATGGTATCTTCCTTACATCAAATTCACTTAAATCTTTCTTCATGAAGTACGTCAGTAAGTTTGAATAAAACTCTTCATTAAAGCTTTCAATGAGATTTGAGAAATATTCGTAATTTCCTTTGTATCTGCTGCTTACGTCAATGACAACAAATCTTCTGTCGTCTTTGTCAATCTTTACTGAGTTGAAGTTGTTAGATATCATGATGATATTACAAACATTCTCTATCTTTCTTACTGGCTGACACTTCTGATTTAAGTCCAACTGAGTCTCTGTTACTATTGACTTTAGTGCGTCGTGGTTCATGACCTTAGACGTATCGCATGAGCTTAGTTCATTGCATACGATGAGCTTCATGTTCTCAATAGCAGCATTGAATCTACCAACCACATTCTCTATTGCCGTTATATTATTGTTGGCGTACTTGCTAATGAGCTCGCATAGAACATTACTAAGTACATTCTTACCAGTTCCTTGCTTTCCTATTAACAAAAGTACTGTTCCAGTCTTTCCACAAGGATTTTGAACGATGTAGGCGAACCAGTTCAAAACATACTCATAAAGCTCTTCATCCTCATTACATATGACATCGTGAACATGTTTCAAATATCCTTCAATAATGCTTTCATCTACTTCATTCAGTACCTCATACTCATATCCTCTGAAATAGCTGTAAATGTCATCTCTTTCGTCAAAGAATCTCATGCCTGACTTCATAAGATAGTTCTTGTTCTGACCCGCTTCATAAATCATCAGTGCGTTCACATCCTTCTCTCAATACGTCCTACATAAACACTCTTCATGAGCTTATTGAATTCCTTGCTATCTACTGACACAAGTGTTGTTGTGTCTCGTATTCCATCATAATCTTTCACTAGATATGTCATACGTGCTCCGTCAATAACAACAACACATCTTCTTAAGTCATTTATAACACTAGCTATGTCAATACCGTCCTCACTCATGTACTTATTTCTTCTCAAGTCCTTTAGTGTGAAAGTGTCTCTAAGTTCTATTTCAAGCAATTCATTTACACATCCTTTGCAATACTTCTCTATAAAATATTTCTGTCGTTCTTTACTAAGTTTCTTAACAGCTCTGAAGAACCATGTGTTTTGACTCAAACATCCTTCACAACTTCTCTCATTCATTCCTAGTTCTTTCATGTCATTATCTTCAACCTCTATGGTCTCATTGACTAAGGTCAAAGGGTTCTTAGTCATTGCTGGTCTTATCTGAAACAATGTTTGTGCAACAGGTTTAACTAGTTCAGCAACGTCCTTCCTTAATATGAATAGCTGTTTCCACTCATCTTTGCTAACAGTTCTTTCATAACCACTGACAGTAATGATTTCATTTGCTGACCTTAGACACTTATGTTCTATCATTTGTATTGCTTTTGTGTAAGGCTTTCGTGAGCATAGGTTGTATATGTCATTCCTGCAATGTTCATTCATGCCAATAGTACTAAATTCTTTCTTTGCTGTTGAGTGCATAATATCCATTAGTTCCTGTGTTCGTATTGCTGTCTCATAAAATACAACAAGACCTTTGTCATCTATGACGTACTTACCGAAAACATTGCTTATATTCTTTAACCATGAAATAACATCCTCATTCATGCTGTCAAACATGAAGTAAGGTCTTACATACTCTTCACTTATAAGATACTCCACAAAGTACTTGTTAAACTCTATGTCCTCGTGAGCGATTTCATTAGGTTTGATATTAGTTCCTTTTGTCATTGCTGTCATGTACTTCACTCTCATAGTTCCTTTCAATAGCGTAAAAATACTTCATTGTTTCATAACTGCTCTAAATTCTGTTCAAAATTCGTACAACATAACTTTTTAACATTAGTGAAAGAACATGAGCGAAACAACAACATCTAACATTACAGAAGAAGTCAATGACAATGCCGATGAAAACATTACAGAAGGAGCTAGTGAAAATATTGACGAGTTCAGTGAGGAAGAAGATATTGAAGACGTCAATGAGAACGTTAGTGGGGAACAAACTCAATGGGAAACATTAAGAAATCATGAAGATTATGAGATTTGTACGACATATCCTTTTACTATTCGTCGAAAGAAAGACAAACATATTATGAGTAGTTAGTATGGGTTAGTTGGGTACTGTGGCACTGCGCACCTACTTACCCATGATATGTGAATTTGACACTTTACAAAACTGTTAACGTATATTTTACAACACAAACGACAACACTAACTTAACCTTAAATGTTTACAAAACCACCAACCATTTCACCTCACTAACGAACTCACTAATGAAAAAATAAACGTTCTCATAAATTTTCTTCTATATCTTCATCGTCAATGTTAACTCTATTGTAGTCATACTTGAAGTCATAAAGTTTCTCAAGTTTTGAAATGCATAGTCTTGTTAACTTACCTTCATCATCATAAGTTTTTATAAAACTACCATGACAATCTTTATAAACAGTCAGTGTATAGTCAACTGGTCTAGGATGAAGTGTAAAGAACATGTTATGCTCAGGAAGGAAGAATAAATGTTTAAATGTATGTTTGTTATATGTTTTGATTTGTATGAGTTGCTTTTGTTCTGTCATTACATCCAAATAAAATAAAAATAATTTTAAAAAATAAAATAAAAAATAAATGATCTCACCACCCTCACACGTATGAAAACATAGCGCAAAAATAATGTTTATGTTAGAATGTTAGATCTAACACGTTTTCTAACCTCATTTCTAACCCTGTTGAATTCATTGTTTTATAACTCTCTTCCTTTCTCCAACTCTTCTAACTTCTTCTTAAGTTCAGCAATGTTGTCCTCATGAAGTTTAATCTTTCTCAAAATTCCTTCTTTATCTAATGGTTGCTTTATCTTTCTAAACTGAACTCTACCATCCTTCATAGTATGAACGTAAAAACCTTCTGGAATAATTCCTGATTTAATGTATTCTACCAAAAACTTTTGTTTCATTGCTTCAGTGACTTTAGTCGTCATTTCAATCAAATAAAAATTTTAATATTAAATAAAAATAACGTTATTTTTTCAGTAAGGAAACGCAGGAGTTTTACGATTTATTTGAGGAGTAGGTTCTGGTTTAAATGTTGGAGTCGGTTTAGGAGTTGACTTTTGAACAGGAGTTTGTACTTCCATAGGTTCAGGAGTCATTGAAGGTGTTGTTTGTGAAGGCGTTGGTTTTGACGTTGGTTTTGGCGAAGGTGTTGGAGTTTGTTTAACTTCAGCTACTTCAGTATTATTTACAACATTTGCTTTATTTCTTTTCAACATCATTACTGCTACTGCTGTAGCTAGCAAACCTAGTGGGAGACCATATCTTATATAAGGACTTGACCAAATGCTATTTTCGACAGGAGCTGGTGGAACACCTAACCTTGGTGAGACTGCTCTTTGCCATTGTGCAGCTCGTAAGAAATATTCAATAGGTGCTCCATAATCGTTTGGTAAAGTTTGTTTCATAGATGGTGAAGGTTCACGAGAGCTTGATGAAGAACTCATTTATAAGCTTTAAAAATAAACGTTCATCCTTTATTCCTCACTGTCGTCAGTTGCTAAGTTATAGTCATCTAATCTTATTATTGGGATTCCATTAGCACGCACCTGAATGGCAAAGCAACAATCCCTCATAAATCCAATAAGTGGCTTTGGTACGTTTTCAGTTGCTAGTTCAATAGGTCCTTTAACAGACAATTTGTATGTTATTGGAGCAGTAGATGTTTGACCTTGTTGGAAGCAAAAGTCCACTTCTGTTGGAAAACCACATAAGAAATGTGTGTTGTCATAGCTATCCCATTTATGTTCCACACTACCATCATCCACCAATGACCTCATAACATCTTCATTAAATCCAATCATATCATTGTTTGTATTGCAAGCGTTCGCAACCATTTCATAAAATACAGGTCCATATGATTTTTCAGGTTCTGCAGGCATATTTCCATAAGCTCCCATGGAAAGCTGAAGATATTTAAACTTAGGGTTCTCAAAATTAACATAATAGTTGTCTTTCTTTCTAAATAGTGCCCAAATACTTTTAACATTAATAGGCGTATAAGCTGCTGTAAATGTTGCACTTGAACTATCTGTATTCTTTGAGAATGAACCATCCATAGGAATCCAATCCATAACTTTAACAGGAAAACATAAAGCCTCGTTTGTATAATGTTCTACAAGTTCTGTATAAATGTTAGGGTCTAAAGAGAATGACTTTGGATGAATGAAACATTCATTAAAATCCATCTTTGTTCGAAATAGTTGCTGGGTTACAGTTGTAATAGTAACTGTTCCACTAGCTTCTACTGCCTTCGTTATCATAGTGAATGGTTCATTCCATGGAACAAATTTATTTGTCGGTGGATTTGAATCTGAAGCAAATGCAACTTTAAGAGTTGGATTGAAAGCAATGATATCATTTACAGATATAGATGTGCATTGTAAGGCGTCGCTACTGAACTTTACTTTAAGCTGAATGTTACCAGCAAATGCAGGAATAAATCTTATAGCTTCTAATGGAAGGAATCTTCTAACAGGAATTCTTAAACGAAGCTTAAAATCAAATGATTTTCCTGCTGTAATTGGACCACTAACAATTTGTCCTGTTCTGCATGTTCCCGAATGACTCCATACATCTTCATGTCGAGTCTTTGAGAAAACATCTACTTTCTTTATTTGTTCGGTAGTTTGTGAGTTTGAAGTTATATATGCTTCTTCTCTTGCGTTGTCTTGAGAATATACGATACGACCATTTGCAAGGATTTGATATCCAGCAACTGCATAGAAAGCGTCATCAAAACCAATCCAAAATCCTGGTGGGTTTGTTTTATTGGAACCTGAACCAATTTCTTTATCTACAATAAATTGACCTTCCATTTTATACGTAATGAATGTATTGTAAAGGTCCAACATATTTTCACCAGGAGGTGAGAGATTGAATGTTACCCATGTGTTATCTTTAGCAGTTCCAGGTTGTGATGGAATCTTTGCGTCAGAATATTTTCTATTAGTGTCACCAATTTGAACTGCATTGTCTATGATATCGAAATATGAGCGAATCTGATGAATATGCTCTGCTGGAGTAAATTCGTTTAGCTGTTCGTTCTGCATGTATTTACTTCAGATAAAAATATCTATTTACTTCATTATTCTCACTCTTCTTCTTGGCATTCGTGGTGGAAGTTGTTTCTTGACATTTTCAATGAACTGTACATTCTCTTTTGTCTCAACTTCTTTCACTGGCGGGTCAGGATTCTTTGACTCGGTTTGTTTTTCAATGAAATTCACGAACTTTGCAATAAGCTCTTGGTTCGTTATTGAAAGAACATCTGGCTTCTTTTCTTCTTGTTCTATTGACTTTTCAGTTTGAACAGAAGGTTTTATATGGGCTTCGTGGGCTTCGCCCTTGCCATGCACCTTAATGTTGTCGCTCTCTGTATTCGCTAATGGAACCTTTCTTTTTCTTACGTATATTTTACCATCTTTACTCTGACTTACGTAATAGAAAGGATGTTGTATTCCTCTGGCGTCATTTAATATAATAGACTCTCGTTCTGATTTTGACAAGCTCATTTTACATCGGTTAAAGTTTTAATTTTGTTTTTTATCTGCAGTCAAATGACTCAGACAAGTCCTACGGACAAGACCCAAGGGGTCATAGATGTTGAAGCATTGAAGAAAGAAATTCGTGAGCAAATTTTATCCGAACTGAAGGAACAAAAACAAGAACAAAAGCCAGAGAGACCAAAGAGAAAACTTAGTGAAAAACAACTAGCTGCATTAGCTGCTGGAAGACAGAAGAACCCACGTTTGCTGGCGAAAAAAGCTAGAGAAGAAGCCGAAGCAAAAGCTAAAGAAGCTGAAGCAAAGAAAGAGTAAATGGTTTATTTTTATTGGAATTAAATGTATAGACAAATACCTTTATCTGTTGCGTTCAGTAGTGAAAACCCTGACGTCAAAATAAAGGGGAACAGAGTAACGTTTAAGTTTCCAACAGACTGGATTGTGAACATAAATGAAGAGAAGTACATTGGCATAACATCTATGTATATAACACGTGCTTTCAGAAAGGTTGACTTTATACTTCAAGTCGAGATAGAAAATGACGAACAGTCTTTAAACGCCCAAAACATTCACATATACAAATACTTTAAAGACGATACAACACTGTTGCAATGTATGATTTCATTTAATGAGATGTTCGAGAAAAAGTTCAACATTGAAGTACAAACTTTACAGCCTTTACGTGAGTTTCTTGCACAACTGAAAGAAGAAGGTAGTCAGCCACAACTTATAGACTTTCATTATGAATTTAATGAAAATGAAGATGGAACTCATGACTGTCAATTCATTGTATTCTCACCATTCAATGAAGTAGCTAAAAAGAAAGAAAATCCATTACGTATAAGATTTCAAATCTCTGAACCAAATGATGATTTCAAGAATGTTTTCAATTATGATGCAATGCTTCCGAGGAAAAATGAATTTTCAAAGATTGTAACACCTAGCATTTGGGATAGAAAGCAAGCTATATTATATTCAAACTTAAGTAAGGAGTTGAAATGAGTTCATTGGTCAATACAAGAACTTCACCACTTCCTAACCCTAAATACTATAAATTAACTGGCTTCAATCGTGAGTTTTGGATAGACATGTTCTCCACTCATGACCATAACTGCCCAGTGTTCTTACCTCCAGACCATAAGGACTGTCTCTACATTGAAGCACAACTCTTAAACTCTACAATAGCTGTATTGTAAAATCTACGCTAGTTTTATTTTTATCACGAATGACCTCATTGCTGACAAAAATAAGCCGCTAGCGGCAAGGGCAAAGCCCATGACCTCAGAACTTCAACTCAAAGAGTCCGGAGACAAAGTCTCATGGTTTTTAGGTTATTCAATAATTAATTATTTTTGAATAACAGAAGGTGCTACCATGCTACCATGTGCTACCAGGTAATTCAACTTCTATGAAAATTACTGACAACACGACATTTTGACAACAACACAGGAGGAAGGTAGTTATGAATTATTTTTGAATAACAGAAGGTGCTACCATGCTACCATGTGCTACCAGGTCATTTAACTTCTATGAAAAAATGTGACAACATGACATTTTGACAACAACACAGGAAATAAACTTCTTCGTATATGTTTTGTCATGATTTCTTCATCGTACATGTTTTGTCATGATTTCATCGAAACTAAACGTATATGTTTTGTGAAGAATATAACAACCGCCTGAATTCAGACGGTTGCTTTTTATACAAAATTCACGCAGGAAAATTCTTGAGTTTTGGTTGAAAGAATACGGTCGAGCCAAAAGTGGCTCAACCTCAAAACAAACATTTTGTGAGCTTACTAAGGCATTTATGAATGAATTCAAAGGTATTTGCATACATCCTGACCTCGTTCATTTTGTTGTTGAATTCAGCAAAAATAATGTTTACGTTAATGTTTTCACTGCTACCATGCTACCATGTGCTACCAGGTCATTTAACTTCTATGAAAATTACTGACAACATGACATTTTGACAACAACACAGGAGGAAGGTAGTTATGAATTATTTTTAAAGAACCGAAGGTGCTACCATGCTACCATGTGCTACCAGGTCATTTAACTTCTATGAAAAAATGTGACAACATGACATTTTGACAACAACACAGGAGGAAGGTAGTTATGAATTGTTTTTATTTTTTTATTCCTATATAAATGACAGCAACAAACAACAGTAACAACTATATCGTTTCTGATGAAAAAGTTATTGATTCATTAGCTGAGGAATTAGTTGTGGCAGAAACTAAAACCCTCAACGAAAGAATTGGTGAAAACAAGATTGATTTACATAACTACCTCAAACATGATGGAGGAAGAGGAAGGAAAACTGGTATGGCTTTATTAGTAAATAAAATTTCAAATTTAACGATTATAGATGTTGATATCAATAAATCGTACAATGATGAACTTAAAGAAACAGTTAGAAAAGACATTTTATCAAAACTTTCGGATAAAGATGTTATCGTTAAAACCGCTTCAGGAGGTCTTCACATTTAGCAACACTAATTTCTTCTATGCAGTTTCGAACAGAATGATTAAATGTTATTCCTGCAATGATTATGATATTGATATCATGACTTCTATGGATGATTCAAAGCGTTCTTTAGTGGTTATGGCTGATTCAAGAGTTCGCAAGAATGCAACAGAACCAATCAATACATACTCATTCATTCGTGGAAGTTATGATTCAACATTAACTAGAACAGTGAATGATATATTAAATGATTTGAATATTAAGGTAAGAGTTGAACAGAAGAATGAAGAAATAAAGACTATCATGAATGAAAACAAAGATGTAAACATTGACGATAAACTAGCTCAGAGCATAGTTGATGGCATCTGTGATTTTGAAGTACATAATGACGGTGGAAACATGAATTTAGAAAAAGAAATAACATTATTCACACTGTTTCAAGCTATTAATTCGTTACCGGATCATTTAATTAATGAAGCATACGATAACGTTTATAACTTCTGCAGTTTAACAGAAAATGCAAAAGTAATTTTGAAAAAGCACGTAGTAGATATGCACATTTAATGACTTCTCCATTTTTTTAGTGAAGATTCTAAAACTATATCAAAAGGAATATTATGATGAATATGTTTTACCTTTATTACGTAAGCCAAAAATAACATTTGATATCAAACTTGATGACTCGTTTTTGATAACAGATATTAGACGCAAGGCTGAAAATCATCAGTATAAAAACAGTTCTGAAGTAATTGAGGATTTATCACGTGTAATCCGTTTTGTAGATTGTGGAAATAAATATTTCATTCAAAAGGACTATAATATCCACGACAAAATGAATCAAATATCATTTGTTCTTCAGTCAAACATGAAAGAGTCACTCAAAATGATTAAATTATTTAAAGAAGAAGGTAAAACCATAACAGCATGGGATGTACTACTAAATCAATTGTCTTCATTAACCGTTAAGGGTGTTTGCTTTAAATCTGATTCCCCCGATGTTTTCTCAACGTTTCAAGGTTATAAATACAACGTTCTCGAAAAACCAGATTACTCAAAAATTGAGATGTTTATGAATTTCATTAAAGAAGCCATTTGTGATAATAACGATGAAGTGTATAAATACCTTCTCGGCTGGATTGCATCAATGATTCAACATCCCGGAATCAAGAATGAAACAGCAATTATTTTGAAAGGACTTCAGGGAACAGGTAAAAACAGATTTACAGACATTATTTCTGAACTTCTCGCTGGTTATTCATGTAAAAACATTACTGAAATAAGTGAGCTAACGGGTAATTTCAATTCAGTAGTTGAAAATAAAATGTTTCTTGTACTTAATGAACTCAAGAATGTGGGTGAAGACAGACTCGCAAACTTCAACGCTTTGAAATCAATTATTACGGATAATGAGATAAGAATTAATGAAAAGAATCAACCCAGAAGAACAGCTCAGAACGTTGCAAACTTCATTTTCGTAACTAACAACGTCTACCCTGTCAAAATTGAAGTTGGAGACAGAAGATACGTAGTTTTAAGAGTTAATGGTAAATTCAAGGGTCAATTTGATTACTTCAAGAATTTAATGGATTCATGCACAAAGGAATTTTATGATAATTTACTGACGTATTTTATGCAATATGACCTTTCATCATTTAATGTACGAATCATACCGATGACTGAAGCCAAACAAGATTTAATTGAATTATCATCAAATCCTTTAGATGTATGGATAAATACACATTATGATGAATTGTGTGCAGGTATGACGTGTGAAAATGCTCTATTCTGCAAACCATCAGTCATGAAAGACAAAAACTTTCAAATGAGTATTAAGGATAAATGTGATAGGAAACATAGAAGAATAGACGGTAAACAAACATGGTATTATGTTTTGAAAGAAGAAATGAAAGGATTATATAAACAGGTTGAACCAAACGATAATGAGGAATCATTTACTGATGATGAAATACCTGTAAATGAGCCGCTAAGCGGCGAGACCTGAAGGTCTAGCTTTATAAAGTATGATTGGAATTTATTTTTGCATTAATCCTGCTGTGTTGTCAAAATGTCATGTTGTCACACTTTTTCAGAGAAGTTAAATGACCTGGTAGCACATGGTAGCATGGTAGCACCTTCGGTTCTTCAAAAATAATTCATAACTACCTTCCTCCTGAACTGTTGTCAAAATGTCATGTTGTCACACTTTTTCAGAGAAGTTAAATGACCTGGTAGCACATGGTAGCATGGTAGCACCTTCGGTTCTTCAAAAATAATTCATAACTACCTTCCTCCTGTGTTGTTTCTTCTGACTAAATGCAACATAACCATATCTCTATCTTCTTCTTTCTCCAACTCTTCAGTATAAATCATATACTTATAACTCTTTTCCTTTCCTTTTGGTACCGAACGTGGTATTCTTTTCTGTATGCTTTTGTCTTTGGATTCAATGACTTCATCTTTTGCTTGAAGTTTCTTTTCCATCTCTCCACGTTCTGCTTTATATAGTTCATCTAACATCATGAAAATATAACAAGCATAACGAGGTGAAGTCCACATTGCTACAGCATTTACTAAAAGTCTATGAACATAATAACCTTTCAAACCAGGAGCCAAATTCTTGCGATTTTCATACGGAATCTCTTCCCTCGGTTTTCCGAGGGAAGCAATCATATGAGGAAATTCTTCTAAAAGTTCTTTTGTCTGTTGGTTTTCAAACCAATGATATGCTTGCTTTGTAGAACGAAGAGCATTCATTATACTTTGCATTTGGTACATATCATCTTTGACTGAACGAATGAGACGTAACTGTTTGTTATACTGTATGTACTCGTATTCTTCATTAATGGCTTCATGGACTATAACTGTTGTTGTGTTCTCTAATGTTGTCATTACCGTCTTTACATACAAAATAAAAAAATAAATAAAAATAAAATTAGCGTTATTTTTTCTGAGATAAACACTATTTCTTCACAACATTAAATTTTATCCTGTATGAAATGACTTTAAAAAGATTATTGACTGACTTCGAATACTATCTCATTGACGCACTGACAGACCCTCAAAACTGTGTTGAAAGTTCTTTAAGCTTTAAGATTGAAGGTACGACGCATTTTGTCTTCACTTACGTATTGAAAGAATATGACCGTTATCATAACGAAGTGAATCAAACACTAATAAAATTTGTAGATAAAAAATTGGTTAACAATGAATATTTTAAACGTGAAGACCCAAACACTGCTGGAGATGATGAAGAATACAGACAAGTTATTGAAAAAAATAACGCAAGATTAGATGCAATAGAAAAGAAGTTTAATGAATGTCTTACAAACACGTATGAATATCTTATGCGGTGGGAAGCCAGATGGAAATAAATTTACGTCAAATATGCAATTTATAAAATCTTATGTCGACAGGCTACGTAGCACAGTGGTCTAAGGTGGTGTTATGGAGGGGTCAGGTCTGTGGTTCGAACCGCGACGGCGCCGTATTTTCTTATTTTCTTTATTTGTCTTGTTTGTCGTGAATAAAAAGTGTCATAAAAGTGCTCTATCTTCCACGGGAATAAATAAAAAATTTACTTTATTTCTTCTTTATTTCTTTGTTCCCGTGGAAGAAGGGTTTTGCTGTTTTTTCTCAGCCAAAATCAATGATTTTTTCATTTTTGGAATCCTTAGCAAATGAGGAATCTTTTCTCTCGTGGAAGCTTTGACCTAAAATATAATTTAGGTGAAGAGGTGAGATTTCACCTGTTTTTTCACCTGTTTTCTCACCCTAGTTATTTTATAAACGTTTCACATGGTAAACGTTATTTTTTTAAATTTTGTGAAAACTCAACGGTTTGACACAAGCCCTAAAAATTATTTTACTCAGAATTTTGTTGCTAAATTCAGTAAAAATAATGTTTAGGTGAAGAGGTGAGATGTCACCTGTTTTTTCACCTGTTTTCTCACCCTAGTTATTTTATAAACGTTTTACATGAATTGTACGATGTATATTTGAAATCCTAAACAATTTCGTAGCTTCTATTTCTTCTGTCAGTATGTCAAAAGTTTTAACAATACCGAAGGTTTCTTTATACTTCTTCTTGACGTCAGATAGAAGGAAATCTTCTACTGTTGGATAGTTTTTGTTCAGAAATTCTAACATGTTCATTTTATCTTCTGCTGGCTTTTCTGCTTCTTTCTTTAAGTCTGCATAGTCGTTTCTCATTCTTTCTATCTCTTTGACTGAGTAGTTATATTTCCTCATCGCTGCCTTACATTTTGAACATTGTGGGTTCATTTTTGCATTATACATTGAAATTTGACCTGCTAAAACAACTAAGGCGTCAATTGCTCTCTTCATCTCAAACATAGCGGGTCTTATTTGTTCGTTCCATATTTTACCTCTTCTATCTTTATCTCTTATCTGCCATACACATTCAGCAACTAACGAAACAAAGTTATCGTAGGTCTTAAACTCCCCGGATTTATATATGTCAGAAACATTCTTATATACCATGTCGCAATCTTTGTCCATAACCTTATGGTTGCAATGAAATCCTAGAAACTCATAGTTTACCTTTCGAATGAACTTCTTTATTTCTACTGAGTCAGTTGGTTTCACTTCAATTTCGTCGAATTCAGGAATAGTTAGTTTTTGATGCTGAATTTCAGGTAGTTTAGGTAAATGGTCAATAATGTCCTGCATTTCATAAAGATACTGTTCATTTGTTTCATCTTTCGCACTACAGTCTAAATTACTTGTTAAAAGTTCTTGCTTTATCTTCTGGATTTCTGTTTCGAAAGTATATGAAGAAGGAATGAAGTTTTTCATCTCTACTAACATTGACGTAGGATTCATGACTAACGAGTTTGGTGCTGTAGTTGTGGACAGAGTCCCGCCGTTCGCGGCTTGAATTGTTGTTGTGCCGATTGTTGAAATCATATCTTTACATACAAAATAAAAAAATAAATAAAAATAAAACTAACGTTATTTTTCTATCTTAAGGAAATTCATGAAAATTCAAGACCCTTTGGGTCTCGCCGCTTAGCGGCTGAGGGTGAAAAAAGAGGTGAAAAAAGAGGTGACATCTCACCTAGCCGCTTTGCGGCTCTGACCCTTTGGGTCTCTTCACCTATAATATATTTTTGGTCATTTACACTCATTTACGAAGAAGTTATGACAAAGCATTTACGAAGAAGTTATGACAAAGTCACGAGGGTGAAAAAAGAGGTGAGAAAACAGGTGACATCTCACCTCTTCACCTAAACTTTATTTTTTTTTGGTCTTTTGTGAAAATTCATGAAAATTCACGGGGTGAAAAAAGAGGTGAGAAAACAGGTGAAATCTCACCTCTTCACCTAAACTTTATTTTTTTTGGTCTTTTGTGAAAATTCATGAAAATTCACGGGGTGAAAAAAGAGGTGAGAAAACAGGTGACATCTCACCTCTTCACCTAAACTTTATTTTTTTTGGTCTTTTGTGAAAATTCATGAAAATTCACGGGGTGAAAAAAGAGGTGAGAAAACAGGTGAAAAAAGAGGTGACATCTCACCTAGCCGCTTTGCGGCTCTGACCCTTTGGGTCTCTTCACCTAAACATGGGCTTCGCCCTTGCCGCTAGCGGCTTATTTTTTGGTGAATTCAATAAAAATAAATGGTTCATTTACTCACAATATTTTTTTACAAAACGACCCCAAACTTTTAACTTCTTTTCTGCAGCTTCAAATGCTATCTTAGCGAGTTCATATTCTCTAAATTCTCTCTTTAAATCTTCTTGTTCCCATTGGTCTAGTTCGTATGGAGAATCTCTATAACCATAATATATCTCACGTTCATGTTCTAATTGTTTTTCACACATTTTTCCAACTTCTTCTTCGAACAAAGGTTTAGCATTCTCCACTGTATCTTCGAGTTCTTCTTCATCTAACTTCTCATGAACTTTCTTGTCTATGGAGTCCATAATATCTTTGACATAAAATGCATACTTTACAGAGCACCATTCAGCAACAAAATGAACGAGGTCAGGATGTATGTAAATACCTTTGAATTCATTCATAACGCCCTTAGTAAGCTCATAAAATGCTTGTTTTGAGGTCGAGCCACTTTTGGCTCCACCGTATTCGTTCATCCAAAACTCAAGAATTTCCTGCATTTTAGTACTATTGAGAAATCTGTTTAAATGGTTTAACTTTCCTGCTTCTCTCGCCATCTTTGTTGCATTAATGTAACCATCCTTGTCTCTACGTAAGACTTCAATACCGTTATAAGTGCCTTTTGTGAATGTTTCACCATTAGATTTGTTCGTGAATGTTTTTGCTTCGATTGACATTTCTGTTCTTACATACAAAATAAAAAAAATAAATAAAAATAAAACTAACGTTATTTTTGGTCTTTTGTGAAAATTCATGAAAATTCACGGGGTGAAAAAAGAGGTGAGAAAACAGGTGACATCTCACCTCTTCACCTAAACATGGGCTTCGCCCTTGCCGCTAGCGGCTTATTTTTGGTGTAAATTTATGACAAAAATAAATGGTACCATTAATAATACATGACTGTTCTCATTCATGTCTGATTTACATCTAATGAAAAAGTTTAGAAGAATTTTCTTATTCTTTCTGGCATGTTTTTATCTTTCCAGTACTCCCGCTCTAATGGTCCCAGATGAGTTGGTTTAGATTCTCTCAAGTTCTTAGATGGTATAACATCTTCAACGCCTCCTTCATATCTTACTTTATAAGTGTCATCGTTTGTGTTATAGTCAAGTATTTCAATAACCACTCCTCGCTTTGCTTCGTCAATGGTTTCAGCAAGTTTGCCATTACTACTTTCAACTAATTTGTGATGAGGATAAAACGCAATAGAGTCGTCAGCAGCTTTTATAAGATATCCATTACCTTGCGTAGAGTCTACGATATAATAGTTTCTACTTAACCTTAAACGTTTCTTTGTCAACGGTTTGTCGTCAAGAACTACACGAACTTTTGTACCAGGAATGAGGGTAAATTGTGTTGAATTTCTGATATTTTGTGTTTGACTTCGTTTCTTTTGTATATACTTTTCTTCTTGTTGTTGTGTCATTGAATTTGGTGTATGTCCTGTTGTAGAATGTGTTGAGGAATTGTAAACTTCGATGAAATGTTTCATTGTTTCTTCGGTAAAGTCTCGCTCTTGATTTAAATCTCTGAGAGTCCTTATGAAGCGGTTAATGATACCGAGTATGTTATGGTTATGGTCTTCAGTAGTGTAGTGAGTTATGTTATGCTTAATGAGAAAATCTGTGATTTCATTGCTGAGGTATGCACTGTCTTGGTCTGATGTTAAAATACTTGGGCTATGTTCTGCTACAAACTTTTGTAAAACTCTTAACACTTCATGAGTTCCTTTATTTCTCATTATATACGCATATGCTTTACGAGTGTTAACATTTATGAAGATGAGGAATGGTTTATGACCACATTTTCTGCTTTGAATGAGAGTGTCAAATTGGTATGCGTCAGGAGTGTTGGAGTAAATTGGTAAAAAGTAGTCGTAAGGATTTATTTTTGTTTGATGTACAACATTTTTGTCAAAGAACCTTTTCACTTCAGCTCTGTTAGTAAATCCCGAACTCTTTGCAGCTTCATTGAACTTCTTAAATGACCTCCATGGATGTTGTTCGAATACTTCTTTCAAGCTCATTTATGTAAAGTTAAAGAGTTTAACCAACTCGTATCCAAGCGTGCATTGTTATATAAGGAGGCATATAATCTTTTCCATTACCTGCTGGGTCTGTAATACCAGCTACAACATGTGTATGATTTCCTGCAGTTCCACAGAAAATACCTGTGCTAACATCTTTGGGGTCAGTTGTGATATCATATCTATGCATTCCCTGTCTATCCGAATCCGCTGCAAGATTTGTATAACCTCTTTTTGTTATTGAATGTGAATGGTTTCCTTCCACAGATGTTCTTCCACTGAACCTATGCATATGTGAAGGAAGGTTTTCAATACCTATTTTCTTTGAACCTCCCATCTTCATTGACTGAGTATTAGTGTAGAATGGAAAACTGTCAACTATTTCATACCATCTACCACCAAATAAAGTGTTTGGATTTATTGGATTCATAGACGTATAAACAGCTCCTATAGGATATATTAAATCATATATGCTCATAACTCTATAAACATATTCTAAAGAACTTATGTCATTAAATACCATTTGGAATGTATCTCCCGGATGAAATGTTGCATTTGTTCCACTTTTATAATGTAATGTTAGTTCAATAGAATTATCCAAGAAAAATTCAAAAGTATCTGGTTGAAGACCTCTAACAAATTCAAATGGAGTTGATGGTTCACCATTTATAATTTCTGTTGTAAATGTCATTGTATCTGGTTTCGAAAATTTCTTTGATAGTTCTTCATCCACATAAGTTTTGTCGGCTTTCTTATCTAACATTGCTGGTAGTTCATGTGTTTCAAAGTTTCTGACATGACCTTCGATATTCATACATTTGTTATTTAAGGAGTTTAGTGTATCTTTTACGCTTGTACTTGGATTCTCTAAAGGTGCACTTGAACCAAGGGTATAGTTCAATATTATGTCGTCTGCTCTAACAGTTGAGAAGGATTCGTTTGTATGGTTCTTGTCGGCTTTACTGTCTAATGTAGCTTGAAGTTCATTTATATCGGAGATGTTGTGTTTATGAGATTTCAAAACTTTGTTCGTTGCTTCGAGTTCAACTTTGTCAGCTTTACTTTTAATAGCATCTTCAAACGTTATTTTTGACTTAACTCTCAAAGTAAATCTTGGTTCAACTAATACACCGTTAACATTGAAAGTAGAGGCATAAATTTCACCGGTATAACCAAATGCTTCTGGTGCTTTAGCTACATCATACTGTACAGTACAGCTTATGTCATAACCTTTAGCACGAATGTATTTATATCTTCTTTCATTAACATTTTTTGTCTTCGCTTCATCACTTCGTGTTAAATATCCATGGTAGTCCGTTATAATCTGTTCGTCTGAAGTTATATAATGAACGTGGTTCTTGACTTTATCACTCAGAGCTAAAAGCTCATTTTTATCTGCTTTTTTCGGCTAATTTCTCATTAACATCATTCACTTCTAATTCAACTCTTCCGCCAGAACTCTTATTATCATTAATTTTTTCATTAATTCGGTAATTACGTCATAAAGACTATATTCTGTTTTCGGTTTTGTAAATAATGAGTCAAAATTTCTTTTCATCATTACATCGCTGACATTAATGATATCACCAGTTCCTTTTTCATTTATTCTCTTCATTAATTCTGCAATAATGACGAATATATAATCTGTTAATTTATTCTCTTCATCGAGGGTTATAGAATGTTTTGAAATTGAATCATTAACCCTCTAAAAAATCAATAACTTCAGGATACACGTTTTTAATGTCTCGAATAACCCGACCAGTATCCTCTGGTTTCTTCTCTTCTTCGTTCCGTCGTTACGTGGTTTTATATCTCTAACCATCATCAACGCAGCCATAACCGGAGGGTTTGGTTGCTACCTGTTCGAAAATCCGTCCGTTATGTACGGTATATCTAAATAATTTCTTTGTGTTTGTTAAAACATTTGAAACAAGTCTTTTAAAACCATCTACAAAATTTCCTGTTTCACCTAATGTTCTTGCAGCATTTACAAGCTCACCATTCCCGCTTTTGACCCCAAAAACGTCCATATTGCATTTATTTCACTCTGTATAGTTGTCCATTCAGCGAAACTAACACCCGCATTCGCTAAGCTGAAAATGAAACTCAGTGGATCGAACTTAATTCCGCCTTCTTTTTCAATTTCAACGAACTCACTAACATGAGATTTTAAATATTCTTTCGTTAAAATTGTTTTCCCCGATGTTATGTCATTAACGAAAACTATCACCGTCAAAAGTTAACGAATTCAATTTCGTCGTTGATGCTTTTATTTCATACACCGCTTTATCGATAGTTTTTGGCTCACCTTTTAGAAGCATATGAAACATTAATGAATGAATTATATGTATTCGTGAATGAATTAAAATCAATGATTTTCATTAATGACGCCTTTAATGATTCATTAACTGTTGAATCCCTTAAAACAATTAATGAACTGTCCTTTATGAAAGGTACACTGCAAACCGTCGAGTTTGGATCAAATGCTGTAGTTGGTGCAGGAATATTAATGATATAAGTCATTAAATCATTAAGTGACGTAAATAATGTTGTTGTTTTTGATTTAATTTCTTTAGCATCTGTTATATACGGTAATTTTATTTCTGTAGTTTCTGAATTAAAGATATTCGCTAAAATGTTTTGTAAACTGTTTTGAACAGCAGTATAAACCGTTGAATCCGGAACTCTTACGATTTCACCGTCCTTAATAAAAGGCATTGCACATGGTGTAGTGCTTGGGTCAAATCTTTCGGGATTATAATTCAACATATATTCTAATGCTTCATATACAGACTTATAAACAGTTGTGTCGTTCTTCATGACAACTTCACCATTTACAATGAATGGCATAGTACATGGAGTTAAAATAGGGTCAAACTTTTCATAGTCCTTCCATGTTATGTATTTCTCGGTATTTCCATCACTGATAACAATATATTTGTCAGTAAGTGTGAGAGAGTATTGACCAAAATATAAACGTTTAGCTCTGTCAGCTTCATACGCATATGCAGCAATACTCATATTTTAATGAGAATAAAATGTTGTTCTATTTGCAAAGTACAGACCCAAACGAATACGGGACAGTAAAGCTACAAACAAACTTAGGTCTTCAGAATGAAGCGCTTGCTTTCAGAGTTGTTGACTTCAATACTATCGCTTCATTCGTTATAACAGATGAAACAGATTTCATGGAGCTTGAAATAGATGGAAAGAAGCACGAAATAAGATTTCACAATAATGTAGAATATAAGATGGAAACATTAGCTGGAGTGTTAAATGCTCTCATAAATACTACAATAAACAAGGATAACGAAGAAAACTTAATGAATGTTAAACTTATTGCAGGAGTTTTGAAGTTCAGTTATGCGAAGGAGTTTAAGATACCAAGAATGAGTCATAGAGTACAACTTCTTTTGGGAGCATACCATATGACATTTCCTTTGAAAAGTGTTGACAAAACGATTGAGATGAAATCTGTTCCATACGTATGTTATGGTAATTGTTTGTACATTGAGTCAAAAATAGCTAATGTCACAGGTATTTCAGGAGTTAATAGTAAAGGTTCAGTAGAATATAAATCCTTCTGTTATGCAGTCAATTCAATGTTCATTCCAAACGTTCCTGTCATAGTAACTCATTAGGTAAATGGGTTCGCATTAGTCCTCATAATTTGAAAGACATGCAATTCAGACTTGTTGACTTTCAAGGCGAGCCTGTAGAACTGAAGGCACCAGTGCGAATGACTGTTGAAGTTGACTTTTTAGAAAATATTAATGCAACAGCTTACAAGAGAACTCAGAGCTAAAAATTAAAGTATGAATGTTATGTATTAGGTCATGAACTTTGGTTGTTGCTGTTTGATGAAACAAATGATAATTAGTTATGTCAGTCAAGGAGAACAGAAAAAGGCGTCAAAGGCGCCGAGCGCAAAGCGCTATATTGTGTTAGTGAAAACTGCACCAAGTCAATAAGATTAGGTTTGCATTATGAAGATGAGTTCGATACTGTTGAAGAAGTTTTGGATAGATATTACAAATTGCTTTAATTTACTAAAACATATTTCAAGCAAAGTTTATATTCTGTTGAAAGTTTTGTATTTCATTCGAATATTATACTTAAACTCAACTCCTGTAGTTCCTGGTGTTTCAATGATGCGATGTTACCTATTTTCATGAATAGTGGAGTTTGACCACAGCATTCGATTTCAGGGTCGAGATAGTCAATGACACATTGTTTCCCTGTTATTCGTGATATAACATTTTCAAGGTCCTCCTTTGTTAGAATTATTTGGTTCTTGCTTAAAGATTTGTCAAAAGCTCTTATCGTCTTTGAGTAAGATAGTTTGGTATAAACTGAAGAAGGTAATGGTCTACGTTATCTGAAGGATTTGTTTGAACATTTGTGTAAGGATTGTCGTTGGCTTCTCTTGAAAGAATTTGGTCCAGTGGTGGATACTCTAACTTAACATCTGATGTAGCGTTAGCGTTTGAAGCTGTGTTTAAATTCACGGATTTCAGCTCTGGTTCTGGTTCTTTCAAACACTCTGAACTATAGTTCTTTATGACAATATTGTTTGTCGTTCGTGAGTCAACATTTGATGTTGGTTCAATTGGAACATTAACGGCACCAGCTAAGATGGATTTGCTTCTCATTTCATATAGAATAAAAACCTTTTATATGTATGAAATGAACAATATACTCGACAAGGGTTTGAATGTAAAGCTAACGAATGAAAATATTGTTGAATTCACTGAGACAGGAGCTGTGTATAAAGATGTAGAACTACTGAACAAAAGAGCTAAGGGAAGAAGCAGGAACATGAACAAAGGGTGGAAGCCTATAAAAATTTATGTCAATGATGGCTCAGGGGGTTCAAACATAAAGTATGCAGAAAGTTATAGAGTTTTATGCTCTCAAAGGTGAAAAGCCTTCATTTAAGAACAGCTATTCTAACGCATATCCTCAAAAGCTAACGGATGGGGAAGTGGATGATATGAATGACAGCAAAAATATTAACAGAAATGGCGACAGAGATGCATGGAATTTGTTTACCATCAGTCAATTGAAGGTTAAACTTTAAAACAATGTTGGTCGTTCCCATGGAATATTTTGACTTTAATGGTATTAGTCATGATATGAATCTCAAGGTATGAACGAGGAGAGATGAGAGACTTATATGCTTCCCAAATTTCTTCAAAAGGTAATGTTATACCTGACTGTTTCCAAACGAGTTCAATATCATAACGTGAGAAACCTTGAAAGATAACGAAGTCAGTTATGAGACGTTTTATGTTTAAAGCTAAAAACCTCCATGTTTGCATAAGTATTGCTACAGTTAAGTGGTAATGTCTGACTTTTAGTTATGATGTTAGCTAATGGTGAGTCAGGCTTTGAAACTAAACCTTTTCCGGCGAAGTCGTCGCAAACTAA